GAAATTTTTTGGGTACTGAACAGCTCCATTAACACCCTGCCAAGAGAGAAAGACCATGTCTTCAGGAACAAGCAAAGAAACAAGAGTTCCACTTAAGAAAAAACCAAGCAGCCCTCCGGTAACAGCAAGACTGTTGTCTCAAGCTCCTGACTTCAGCAATGAAACTGCTTCAAAAAACTCCTGCTTACGTCACTTATTCCCATTCCACAGTGCAGTCTGCTGTTCCATTAGTTGTGCTGGTATAAATGTTTGTGAGGCCATTCTGTAAACTGGGTCAGTGTAAGACAGTTTCAATTCACAATAAACTGAAAACCTACACATGGTGAAACCCAGAAACTATGTTTGATGACAAAGTTGACCAGACAATTCACATTCCTTCTTTGGTTAATGTTTAGAATATTGTTTCCTCAATTTTGTTTTCACCCTGACAGACTTCATTTCCATCCTACACTTAGACTGAAGAGCATTTTAGACTCAAGTAGGTAAACACTTGGAAGACAGCAAAAAGAGAACTGCTCCAATTTTCTGTGGCCACAATTCTCACACTTTTTTACTTGCCTTTCCTGTTCCTGGGATAAATTCTCTGTTTTTCCTACTGCAGAACCACATATACAGCAATTCTGAATTGAGAGTGAAACACTAAGAGAACGAATCCACTTGCTGGAGAGCTGCTAAAAATATAGTGGACAACATGACTGGGAAGGTGTGGAAGGGGGATTGAGTTTAAAGTTTACTTAAATAGTAAAGAGAAAAGCAGATTGAAAATTGGAAGAAGGTACTAGAAATCAAACAATAGCATACATCATACTAACTATTTAAATGCAGGAAAAAATGCCTATGTTTAATTATGATTCTGTGTTTAACTTAATGAGCAAAATTCTAGCTCCATTGAAATCAGTGACAAAATCTGAAATTTTAAGTCAGTGCATCCAATCTTTCAAACATTTATGGTGTTTAAGGCATTAGAAAATTATAACAAAAATCAACAAAAGTCCATGTTCAGGATGTAGCTAAAGAATATCATATTTAAGTACTTCATCTTATTTGTGCTATCAAAACTGAGGAATGGCAAACTACCTACTTGAATTGGTTCAGCGATAAATCCAGCTACTGTCTTGGGAACTGTGGTATTCAGAGTATCTTTGAGCTGTTCAATATACTGGTCTTTTGCATGACATGCACCTGTTTGCAGGGGAAATAGTTTAAAGGGAATTTACTTATTATGACACAAAACCAGCTTCAAAACATGAAATTACAGATCTAAGCAACAATTCTTATCTGACTGCATGTTAAATATCACCTCTCAAGTATACAGTAAGAGGCTAAACATTAAAGGAGAGAGTCCCTTCTTTTCTTTTAAACCAGGTATACTCTAAGGAATGCCAGTTCCAAAACAGCAAGGCAAATCTGACAGACTCTAAGACAGTACTCATTATACAGGTCAGTATCACATCCATCAGCAGAAGGAATAAGCCGACATTTTCTCATGGGTTAATAAACATAAGCATAAGACACAAAGAATCCTTAGGTTAGTGCACGTGTGAGGATGCTGGAGAATACAGTTGGGTACCAGTCTACACTGAAATAAAGGATAGAGCAATTAGTACAGCTAATGCTCCCCCTCACTAGGGAGGACAAAGCTAAAAAGAAAACATTCTGTTATGGGTGCATGTGAATTAAAATACCAAGGAGTGCTTGTTGAAACAGGGGAAGGATAAGTGATTGCAGTTGTTATTAACAGCAGAGCAGTAGAGGAGCTTTTGCATTTTGTTGTGTATGGTATGTTTTGCCCCATAGAAGACTTCTGCCCATCGCTGGCTTCAGGTTGTCCTTACTATTTGCCTTATTCCAAAACATAATCTGGAAAGCTGCCAAAACTTCAGAAACAGCAGAAAACATCATCAACATTTCTGTTCTTCCAGATGTGCTAAACTGAGTTGATCATGACAAATGCTGGAAACAAAGGCTGGGATTTCGAGAAGAAATCTGAGAATGAGGTGTCACTTGTCCCAAGTTTTTCATACTGGGAAGCAGGGGCCTGAGATTGTCTGCAATACTTTCTTTGACTGCCCTTGCAAATTCCAACCAGACCTTTCTTGAGGAGGTATCTATCATGTATTTTCACAGCCCTCTAGTATTCTCTGATTTAAAAGTCAAATAATTTTTGTCATTGACCAACCTTGAGGACAGCTGCATTTTCGAACAGTTTGTACTGGAGAATCTCTACAATGGCTGCCTCCCCATGGACCACGAAAAACATCTGGTAACATTGTCTGTCAAACATAAGGGAAATAGCTACAGATTTGATGATACCTTTTTAAGAGATCTTTTGATCATACCTACAATCTAATGACTAAACAAAAAAAAGTCTGTAGAGCTAGGGGGCAAATGTAGTTTAAACAACATATCTAAAAACCACTTGAGAATAACACCAAACTTCCCCCTCATAAATTAGTAGAACAGTTATGGAACCAACAAGCTTAGACTATTCCAGCAACAGTCACTCAATTGACTTTTTCCTTTGTATTGTTCTTTGATTTAGTCATCAACTTAGTTATTTATGATTAATACCAACATTTTAAGAGTTGTTGGTAGTATTTCAATAATCTGAAGTATGAACAAAATCTGCAAAATAGAGTGAGACAGGCAGATCTAGTAGAGTGAACTCCAGCCTTCCAATTCTGTCTGCTAATGAAATACCACATGACTACAGGTAACTCACTGAGACAGGCAGGGAAGTTGTTATAAATGAGCCTTTCTATAGTCAATGCTGTGTCTGAGCTACCATCAGTACAGATCAGTCGCCAGTGCCAGCTTCTAGACAGAAAGTTACACTCATCTGCTCAAGGGCAGGGAAATAACATGTTGCCATTTAACCCCAATGGATCCTCTTAACAGATAAGTCTCATCTTGCTCAAATAGGGTTTCTTTTCATTACAGGGAAGGATCTGTTTCAGACCATCTGAAAGCAGCTTTGCACAGATCTTCCAAAACAAACTTGAGAACAGGGGTTCTGAGCATTTTTATTTTGCTTCATACATAGACTTCCACGCAAGCACCCAGCATGACTAAAGAACTGCAAACCATGACCACTCATGTTACAACTGTCCTGACTTCAAATTAGCCTAAGTAACTGTAGAGAGAATGAAAGGGGACTCTCGCTCTTGTTGAGCTTACAGAGAAGAAACAGCTACACTGCAGTTTAGCTAGTGACCATAAAGCACTTGAGCCCAGAAAACATACTAATTGTTGAAACATTAAAATAAACTGTTAATCACCCAGATTATTTTAAAAAAATCACAAAAACATCTCACTGTTATACAGCCAAAGCCATTGGCAACACCATGCTTATAAGAACCAACAGATGTCAATCCCAGTGTGTAAGGGCTGCCTCCATGGTATGCTCCTCTGTTCAAACAAACAAAGCAGATGAACATCACTCATTTCCAAGAACAGTCTGGAGCAGTATAAGTTCTGAGAAGGCATGCTTTCAAGCTGCAAATCATTGGGAAAAACTATGCATTGTTGCACTCAAAACAAGAACATTCCTACTGCCATTTTTTGCTCTGGTTTTGGAGAATCCGTGACTGCCCATCTGCAATGGTTTCCTGCAATTTAGAATGTTAAAATCGTGAGGTAATGTTTGCAAGGAGAAGAGAACAATTATTGGAACCAACAGCAATTAAGACAGTGCCTCATCAAGTTCTTCTGTAGCACCTGATCCCTACAGAACAAACATCTCTGTCCTTTGAATCTTGGAAACTGCTGCTCTCTCCAACAGATGCTGCCAATCATTAAACTACAGAGTGGTTTGCTGTCAGTTTTATGCACGAATCAGAAGTTCATTAACGAGAATATGCAAGAAAGGTGTGTACCCAGTGAACCCAATGAACACAATAACAGAAAAATACAGCTCTTCATAAGACGACCTGTTATTCTAATATTTGAGGCTGCCTGAGATGCACAGTAAAGAGAACTGCTTACACTGGTGCTTCCAGTGCACTGGTGCTCACCCTGATACCACCTTTGTTGTGAAGCCAGAAGAGCTGTTTGTGGGTCTGTGCAGTGAACTATGGTTCAGGGCTCTGGTAGAAAAACAAGGCAGCAAAACAAACAAAGCAAAAAAATCCTTCCACCAGGTTAGTTTTCAGCCAGCACAGCTCCCTGCTGATGTTCACTGCACTGAGGTACCTTCGGCCCTCACAAAAAACGGTACTGCAGAAGTGAAATGAAAGAAGAAAGTAGCCATTGCCGGATCTTGCTCTGGCCCTGAACAAAGGTCCACCAAAGCACACACTGAGCACAAAGACTAGACCATTTTCTAAGCAGCATAAGCAAAAGCGGCAGGTTGTGTTTTGATAGCAAAATATACTGTATCAAAACTTCAACTCCCGTTTTACTCCTCTTTGTCAAATAAAATAATTTTGTATCATTCTCTCCTAAAGACCCTGGGGTTAAAGAGTTCTCTATTATTCCTTGGTTTAGGCATATAGAGACTGACTGCATACACAAACGAGTTTTGTAAAGATCTGTCAGCATTACCTGAGGGAGATGATGTCAAAGTTACCAGTGTATAGCCTTGCCATGAACATAGCTAGATCGTTGGCTTCCGACCCACTGTTGGTAAGATAAACCACCTATGGGAGAATGCTTAGGATCAGTGCAGTGCACAACCACCACCTCATTCAGCATCAGACCTTGTCACTTAGTATCAGCTTTAACCTATCACAGGGTGACTTCACCATCATAAACTTAGTGTTGCCCTTATGCTATAGATGAGAACTAAAATCAAACTGATTCAGGGAGAGCACAGCAAAATCTTGAAGAGTTTCAGTTTACAGGTTTTCCTAAGATGGAATACTGATTGAAAGAAATTAAAGTGCTTGGTCAAACTAAGCATGACATTTTAAAACTATTTTTTATACTTCCATCTTTAAGACTGCAATAGCTTCCTACTCTTCTGCTAGCACAATTTCATTTTATTACCAGTGTATTTCAACTGAAAAGCAAAACTATTTTTCATACTTTTTCTGTGCATATGAAATGTGACATTTATGTGGTTTACTTACTTAAATGTCAGTAAAGCTCACTACACAAAATACACACTTTTCACTGTGTATTTTCATGAGATCTAGTAAATTAAGTCTGGCTACATATAAGAATAGCTAATATCTTCTTAGTTACTTCAGTAATTTTTAAGCGGGCAATGCTCCTTCACTGTGACAAGTGGAGAGAGAAAACAGAGCAGGATCTTGGGATACTTCAAGGTCTAAAGAAAAGACCTTGAGAGTCATGATGCTCTTTATCCGACAGTCTGTAATCCCCATACACGTTTTATCTGTACATATATCATGGTCCTCATTTATTTAAAAAATGTATCTTAAAAACAGACTACCTTTTCACCAGCCCCTGCTCCTGTCAGAAGCAAAGTACCTTCAGTGGATCTGGAAGAAGAGAAGTCAGCTTTTCAGCATATTCATGGATTGATGGGTGCATGTAGATGTTAGTGGTATGCCACAGGCGAGCAAGCTGTTTCTGGGTAGCCATAGTTACCTTCCTGCATGTAACAAAAGAAGAGAATAAGGTATTCAATTCCACAAACTTCTGCACTACACATACACACATCTGTGTGTTATTAATTTTGCAAATGCAGATGCTACAACATTTGCCAGATGGATGAATCAAACTAATGAGCTCTTCAAAATGTAGCAGAAATTTACCTTACTGTAAGTGATACATAAAAATTCAGTATATTATTTTCTGGTTTTAGGCTCACAGGGCTACAGATTAATGAAGAAGAAAACCAACAAAGGTATCTCTTCCTGTATTTTATACCACAAATCAGAAAGCAACATACTTACGGGTGACAGTGACCAACACTGACAGTGACAATTCCAGCAAAGAGATCAAGGTATCTCCGCCCCTCATAATCAAACAACCACTGCATATGTCCTTGATGCAGCAACAATGGCTTCTTGTAATACATTCGCAGTGAAGGAACAATATTTTGTTCACGGATCTTCTGCATACGTTCATACGGGTAAGACTGAGTGGAATAAAAGAGTCAGTATCTGCTTATGCTTTCCAAAGACCTGGAGTAATGGACCTGTCATGTATCACAGGTTACACAGCTGTTTACAGCTGTTGTTCACAGAACTAAGATTTTAACAAATTCTGGCACATAGAGGATTCTACAAACCTCTGAAACTGAGCTTTAGAAACAAGACTGCTGTTGTGCATGTTATCTCTTCCTTAAAGATTTTCAAATGGGCAGTGTAGAAGTCACTGATTTGTCACACAGGTACATGTACAGGTTATATCCTGGTTGCAACAGTTGAGTTTTGCTCAAAGAAGCAAATTTTACCATCATATTTAATGCACTGACTATTTATAGCAGATGAGCCTATCATTCAAACACAGTAATGCGGTTTTATTCAAATTCAGTGTAGTATGCAGATGTAGTATGACTTACTTTGTATTTTTCTGGTACAAAATCACAAGGAGGCATTTTTGCTTGTGTGGAGACAGAGCTTCTCCATTTCTGCTGCCTAAAAGCAACTACAAAATAGTAAGAGAAATACCAAACAGTTAGCAAAGTGCACATCTGCAAGAATTTCTCAATAAGCCTGTTCAGAGAACACACAAGGTACAATCAAAGCAAGTTTCGGAGGAGTTCTTCTTCTGTCTCTGAAATTTTCTTTGGGGAAAAAATAAGTAAGTAGCATTTTTGTAAAGGCAAAATATACGTAGATTTATAAAAACAAAACAACTTTTCTGTCTTATCCACTAAAACTTAGTTTTGAGTTTCACATAGACTCTTATTTTGGCAGCAAAAGACAAACGACGTGTTTCTAATACAAATTCTTATCTGGGAACAGTGAGAGCAAGCATCCTCTATAAGGGCATGAGCCAGAAGCCCAGGGTGGCTGCAGTTCAGGGAGTGCTCTCGGGGACCAAGGTACAGGCCCAACAGACCTGAACAAGGTGAAAAAAGCAGGGTTCACTGAGAATGCCCCACACACGTGGAGATGAATCAGGTCCAGGGTCCACACAGGGTGTCCAGTCAGGAGCAGCGACACGACAGATGGGAGACAGGGCTGGAGACAAAGGCTACACTGTTAGTCCAAGGTCCATCAGGAGACAGGGCCAGGGGCTGGACTGGTGGCTAGGCTACGCTCACGGCACAGCTGAGACAGCGACTGAAGGCTCAGGGCTGAGCTGGAACAGGGCTCCTGGGCAGGAGGCACAGGCAGAGGCCCTGGGTGAGGCTTCTCAGGACAGACCAGGTGTGCTTAAGACCCCAACAGCTCCCACTCCCATCCTCCAAAATCCTGGAAACGTCACACCGCCCTGCCTTCCATTTAACTGCCAGTGCAATTCAGCAGGTATCAGAGTTATTTAAAAACATTCTGCATCCCAAACATGATCTGCTCGGAGCTACACACTTCTTTTAAAAAGCCTAATGTTTCAAACAACTTCTAAAACACAGTACAACGCAAATGACTGAAGAATAAAGTTTTCTGAAAGTTTTTTTTTAAACATACACTGTTATACGTACATAAACTGAAGTTTACATGCACTGTCACTTCCCTTACGACCACTTACAGCACTAATGAATCGACCGTCTACAAGAGCCTCAAAAAGTTAGTGGAAAACCCATCAGCTGGGGAAGTCCTACCCTTGGAACTCTTC